TTGACATTTTGATTGTACTTCTATTTAATATTTTTATTCCTTCTATTATCTTATTATTTTTTATATGCAGTAATTAATTATTTTTTCTTTGGTATAGATAGCTTTGGGAAGTAGTTATGATCTCCCTTGTTATGAAAAAAAAAACGACAATAAAGTGAAAAAATTGGATCGAAAAATTGCAAACTAGAAAGTAAAATACAGATTTACGTGGTTCGGTTGGGTTGTCTGCATCCACGGAGTTGCAGAGGATTTTATTACTTCGAGAAATTCAACGATCGAGCGTCTCGACGTTTACAAGAAATCTTCTTTTCTCTCTATTTCTCTCTCTCTTCCTTTCTCTCTCTTAGCTCTCAAGAAGACTTGGCTTAGCACTTATGACAGGCTAAAAGAGGCTATTTATAGAAAACGGGACAGAGGTAGGTGGGAGAGAGGTAGATGAGACGCGGTAGGTGAAGGAGGTAAGTCACAGGCTTCATATATTTAACACTCCCTCCCTTAACTTTCGATTGAAGAAAAGTACAACTCCATCACAAGGCATCATATAGATAAGTACTATTATCTTAGTGATAACCACGACCTTTGTTCCCTTTGATCTCTCCACACGGGCTTTCACTCAGACATCGTCACCACCTAACCACACCCTATTGCCTCTTATCATACCACAATCAACACCTAAATTTCATGTAGGTGCATGTCCTATTTCTGCAAATCCTGACACTTTAAGTTGCACATGACGCACATTCAATCTAGACCCATCGGAAATACATAGGTAATCTATATTATAAAAATAAAATTTCATTGAATACTTTTTTTATAAAACTAATAATATCTTCATACTTCAAATTTTATCAATCTTGCAGGTTTTTCATATTGTAGGGACATCATACGGAGCAAATTTGATGATTGGTACTTATCATGGATGGATATCCCGATTGAAGTATGCATGGAATATGTGATTTCAAAAGTTTTAGGCAAACCCTAATTTGTAAAATTATGTTATATAATTATATCCATATAAAATATTAACATTCATATATAGAAGTAGTTCTCCTGGTTGTCTGAGCATCATGCACATATTAGGAGAAGATTTTAGTCTAGAGGTGGAGCTCGTATGTGCGATATGCTCATTGAGATATGCAAGACTGGCCAACACCCTCTAAGGCTCGAGGAGGGCATGTGCATCCATTTTTGTAGAGCCCAGAACTCACATGACTATGCTAGGAAGAGTTAGCAAATGAAGTAAAACTAGGCTTCAAATTATGGGGGCATGGTTGCCTCCCAACACATTGGAGATACACTCCCAAATATGTAGTACATGAGGAGGATTATAAGAGTTATTTTATCTATTAAATCTTAGTAGATAATAATTATTTATTAACTTTTTTTATCTTAATAGACATTGTAACTTGGATGAGAGCCCACTATCATTGAGCTACACGCTCATACCCATCAACATCAGTCAGACTATTAGTGGATTGATATTAAATCTTAAACAATACATGTAAGTGGCTAGGGTAAGTTTGATATCATTGAAATTATTTCAAAATTTAATTTTGCTTAACCATCCTTTGCATTCTTTTGTAGGACGAGTACAAGCGATTGAAAGAGGTTCATAGTCAACACCCAAGAGGTGTTCCTATCCCTTGTTGTGATTAGTTGGACTATGAAATTAAGAGAAAAGTTGTTGGGGGTAAACAAAGAAGGAAGGATTGATGGCTTGGGGTTGCAGGGACACGTGTACGAAACATATCTCTCATTTATTGGACAGAACAGTACATCTATCTATGAAGTCAATGAAATTTGTAGGGTGGTCTCTTTATAATCTACATGTATAGAAACCCGAGTTGCCACTCAACTTGCTTAGATGGATTCAAGAATGAAGATAAAAATTGTGGCGGTGTGATGTGAGGCATGTCGAAGAGAGAAGCAGTCTATGGAGGTGGATTATGATTTTTTTTAATTTCATTTCTTCTTTTAGGACATTTCCGTACTAGTTATGTATTGGTTATCATAAAAATTATTTCTTTTTCCATTACATTACACATTTTGATGGCATTTATTTTTAATTGTGCTTATCATCATGTGATTCTTGTTTACTAGCTAGTTGGATAGGTAAAGTAGATTGCATGATATTAATTTCATATATTCTTATAATTTTATTACAGGTGTGAAAATTCTAATGAAACAAATGAGTTTCTTTATTTTTTTTAGGTGTAGTTTGCTTATAGCCAACCACTGATTTTTTGGGCGGCTATCAACATCCAAAAAGCTAACAGATATTGCCTGTCAATATCTAAACCTATGCCAAACTGAAGTTTCTCGCTATAGTTGAACCAAAGGAGCAAGTCTCCGTTACAAACCGTAATGATCGGCAATAACCATTCGAAATACCTTCATAAAAAAGACATGTTTGAAGGTCGTCTAAATTGACTTTTTCACCAACAAAAAAGTGATAGCCCTCTTCCGTCTGATGGTCGTTACTTTTTTTCAATAACGTGTGACAATACCATTACTTTCGATAGGTTGAGGCCATCGAAAAATTGACAAAATTCCTATAGTGAAACTTATTTGAACTTAGATCTAATCATCATTGGGTGTGTATTGTCATTATGTTTAGTTAATTATATGTTTTTTTAAATCAAAACTGAAATGATCTTAAACTTTAATATTAAAATTATCATTCAAAATATATTGAGTTCTGTACCTAATCATATGGATATTTTGGTGATTATCACAGATCTCATAATTTTTTATGTATTTACATATCAAATACCTAAATTTTGAATTTTATATTTTGTTGAACCCAGATTTATCCTTAAATCACACCCAAGAAAAAAGACTAGAGAGAGAGAGAGAGAGAGGAAAGGCACGACCAATGAGATGATGAGAAAGCTAAATGAGGATATAACGAAGAATGAGTCTTACAATGGATTGATGATAAATGCTCCCTCTTTTTAATAGTTGGCTTTTATAAAATGACATATTTTGATCTATTTTACACTAGTTCTTTAAGTGTATACATTTCAATTATTAATAATCCCACCCCTGCCGTAACTTTGGGCTTCATCTTTTAGCGATGGGTTTTACTTATTTAATTGATGCGATGATTAAATGTATTTAAGAAAATAACTGAAATATTGTTGGTGTCAAGTGAGTGGTTCAACCAAATTAATTCCACTTAGTTCATATTCATTACAATTTGAAGGGTTGTTAAGGACATGTGGGCCAGTCGAGGAAATTATTATTATTTTTATCTTAATTCATTAAGATAAGCCTATGCTCCATTAAAATAAACATAAGAACATAATCAATTATTAGCAAATCAAATCATTTAAATATTTATTAAAATAAGTAATAATTGTATAGCTAGAAATAAACGTATAATAAAACCAATTAAAGTTAAATTAATTTAAAATTAAAAATTTTAACACTCATAAATCAAATGCACCTAACATGATGATTAAACATAAAACATATAACTAAATTTTTGAAGATGATATTAAGGAAAATTTGATATAATTTTTTCCAAAAAAGATAATCATGATTTCTGAATAAAATTGTCCTTCAAAAACATACTTTGGGCCTCTTTGAGTTGCTTTTTATTATTCTTTTTTTCATTTAAGAGAAGTTTTTTAATATACATTATTAAATTTGTTTAGATAAAAAATTTAGTTTCATAAACACCCAAAATAATTTATAAATATTTTTAATATTTTTAAAAATAATTTTTTTTTTCAAAATGTCAAATATATTGTATTTAAAATTAAAATATAAATAAAAATAATAAAAAAGAAAAACTGACTCCAGATAACCTCTTAATTTTTTCAAAGCTCCCATTTTCAATGTTTGTAGAACAATATTTTCTGAAAATCCATTGACATGTAGAAAGCGCCTAAAATTGATAACACTACCTTAAAATGCAAATTTCGTAGAAAAAACTTCATTAAGAGCTTATAACTTCAATTGGCTCCATAAACGAACCACAATGACTATCACAAATAACACCAAGATCAACAGAAGATCTGATTAATCATCACATATGTTTCGAACAGAAACAGCAACCCAATTAAATTATTTACAGAACAGTAAAACTTATAACTTGCGGGCAGCAGAGTAAATATAAACTTCTACTGGCATCTTATCTAATGAAGGTTTGAAGTGCGAATACCAAATGTATTCTCTCCGCTGTAAGTGACATAAAGAAATCCATCTTCATCTTTCTTTTCTTCATAAATTTTTGACATAATAGAGCCTGAAAAAGTCAGCCCCAAAAAAGAAGAGAAACAAACAAAGCAGGCATTGTTAACTTTCTTCTAAAACGAACTTTTTTAAGTTTTTAATGGAGGAAGACAAATACCTGTTGGTGGAAGCACGTTGTCTACAAATATAAAAATGGCCTTCTCTGCACTCAATTTGATTCTCTTACGAATCACGTAAACAAACTGCCCTACTGTCAGGTCTGCTGGAACCAAATATCTGCAGATCCAGATGGACATTAGTAATCAAATCCAACATGCCAAAATCTTTTGCCGAAATTAACGTGGTTCAAATTCAACTGAGAATAGTTATTATAGTTACAAGCACATTTCTGTACTGAATGACATGATTGATGATAAATTGAGTAAGCTGGAATTGATCATTGATATTAAAGACTAACGACAAACAAATAAAAAAGAACTTCATTCTTGATTCATAGACATACAAATTCATGGATTGAAAAATCAAGCTAATTAATAACTTTTGTTTCCATAAGAACCTTTGCAAGTTTAACTCTGCTGTACAAGCTTATGCACAACTTTGTAAATAACTGATTTATGAATCCAAAAACAAGTTGATGGTAGAATGAGGACTTACTTCTTCTTGTCAATGGTGGTTATATCACTTCTCTCAGCCTTCTCCACAATTACCTTTAGGAAATAAACAAAGTTTAGAAAGCATAAGCCCTTTTAAAAATACAACCAACCAAAGCAAGCAATAGCCCTCATCAATCAGAATTGAGATAAATTAGTAGCAAATAACCACTTCAGTCCGGCAAAAAAATTCAATCGACTTATTGAAGTAACAGTACACCAATGCTAAATGATAAATATTAACAAGAGATAATATACAATATTTGTTTCCTTCCATGTTTTCTAGCTTATATGTCTGACTAATAATCAATGTGCGAAAGTTTTCTACGCAAAATTAAGAGTACATCAAAATAGAAACCAAAAATAAATGTCATGGATTTATGTCCTGGATAAATTGGTTAATTGTTCATCCACTGCAAAAAAAGACTTCAAGTAGCAACCCACGAAATTAAGCATGGAGTAAAAACATCTTTTGCAACAGAGAGAACAATCCAATTCGGGAAAAATAATAAAGAACACATAGGATTTGCAATTCTTTAGTTGGGGGATTTAGATAAATAGCACATAATTCTTGGGGATTTGCAGATCTAGCACTTAACTCTTTCTATTTACTTACATAACACCCTAGTGTCTAAATCAAATAAAAACATACACGAAAAGATGAACATCATTTTGTCAAGTTAATTCTAGAAAAATTTTCTGTGATTCAAGATTATGGTGCTATATAAATAAACATAAAAACTTAGGAATTAGATAAGTAAATATGTAAGAATTCAATGGTATGTATGCAAATTAGTCTTTTTAATTATTAGATTTGCACTCCATAGATTTTGTGTGTTTCCTAAACAGATGAAACTATAGTATTGACCTGGATGCAGAGCCAAGGCTCAAGATTAGTTGACGTTCTTCGATGTTAAAATATGAAATCAAATCACTAATATTGTCATACAGATGGTATATAACTTGTCACCACAAGTTCCCTGCACAAATCAAAATTAGATACCTACACTTTTTAGAAAAGTAAAGTAGCTAAAAATAAATACAAAATAATCCCAAAAATTTAGCAAACAAACAGAGAATATTTGCCAACAATTTACAAAGTAGTACCATTACAGTTTTAACAGATGCAAATAACAAAAAAAAAAAAAAATCAAAGTTGACTAATGTAATCCATAAATATAATTGAGCCAGAAACTTGCCTCCACGATGAAGACAAGAAATCATCTAACCAAAACTTAAAACCATCCTCTAATCATATAGAATTGAACTACCAATCTTAAGCTGGACAGAAATAAGAATAAAAATAAATCCTCGCAGATGTGAAGCTCTACAGCCTGAATCTGCTCAGATATATCAAATTAATCTAGAAAAGAGAACCTCACCGGAATTCTATCCGGGTACTTTTCCCTAATTCTAGCAGCCTCTGCCCTTCTCTTCTCTGTACAACACAAAGAGAGGTCATCAATCAAAACAATCATCCTCCGATCATCCAATAAATGAAAAAACAAACAAAACACAAAGAAAGCGATGCAGATTTGGCGAACCAAAGTCATGAGCCAGCTTGAACGAACTATTCGCCATCTTTCTTGTAAATCTCCTCTGCATAAAACAACATTATTCGATTCACATATTTCAAACCCTCGAAAAAATCCAACAACTCACAAATCAAAACCACAAAATAAAAAAAAGGCTTATAAATCGAAATCAGAGGCTTCAAGTTGACCAAAAGAACTGCAAGCGAGTTATAGAGAAGAAACCAAGAAGACTGGATAAGAAAGAAGAGCAAAAGGTACAAATCTTGCAGATAAAAACGTACAAAGAGAATAAAACAGTGGAACGAGGCGATCGATCCGGCGGAGAGCAAGATCGAGAATGTAGGCGAAGCGGAAAACGATTCCGCGACGCTGCCTTTACTTGTGCAGAAGCTTCAAGGAGCACATGAATCAATTAAAGAGTATTTACACAAAATTCATATGCACGTAATCCTCCTTTTTGTTATTTTACTGTTAATTACATATCTAAATTTCATTAAAGTATATGCTTGGTTGTTATTTTACTGTTTATTACATATCTAAATTTCATTAAAGTATATGCTTGGAAATAAATTTTTGTCTTAATTAAATTAATATTAATAATATTTTTATATGATTTAAGAAGTTAAGTGTTATATAGTATATATAAAATTTTTAAATATTTTATGGGTAATTTTATAATATATATTAATAAAAAAATGCTCGAATTCAAATTATCTTATGTCTGCATCTTAAGAATAATATATGAATTTATAATATAAGTCTTATAGTCGTTGTATTCATGAGGTTGTGGCGTATATTTTGAATTTCACCTAACCTCACCCTATTTGTATCCTATGTTATAATTGTGTTGCATCTCTCTTGAATCCTTAGCTATATATAGGATCATAAAGTGCTCTATAATATATACTTAAAATAATAATAATATGTAATATTTTACTTTCTATCCCATATGTTTTTTCATGGGTTGTATGTCTTACAATGGATGATCGACATGGCTCATTTTACATTCATCATTCTAAAAATTTAGTTTGACAACAAAATTAAAATATTTAGATTAAACAATGCTAAAGAATTTATTCTTATTAATTTTTTTCCATGATCACAATGTTGTTCATCAATACTTGTGTGTTGAACGAACCCAAAATGACCAACATTTATTAAACATGCAAGGGCAGAATCAAGAATTTATCTCAATTTTGAAGTGAATGCATTATGATTGCCTCTTTTTAATTAATGGAATAGCTTCATCACTCTTTCAAAACAAATCATTATAAGAGCTTTTACAAAATACCATATGATTACTACCATTTGTGTCTTCGAATCACATGCACATGCTTCTACCTTAATTAGTCAATGAACAAAATTTTGCCCACAAGCTTATACTAATGTTTTGCTTTGGTAACCTCAAGGTATAAAGCTATACAAATTATATGATATTCAAATTAAGCAGACATTTATATCATGTGATATTGCTTTCCACAAAGATCACTTCCCTTTCCACTCAATTAAAACCTTACACCTCATGGCTCATCCATTTTCTGATTAGGTCATCCCTAAGTCCAAAAAAATAAAACCCTCAGTCACACAATTCCACTCAACAAAACACGATTAGTTGAAGTACAAAATGAAGACTCTCCACATGAGGCAATACCATTACATATACCTATTGGAAACTAAACTCGTAAATAAACTAGAATGCTAAAACTCCCTCATACTTATGTGATTTTCACTACTATATTCTTCAAAACTCTAAGTGGCATCTAAACAACACATTGAAATGTGAATCAACATTAAACACCCCATTTCACATCATATTTCATAAGACTTCGTATCTTCAATCCATAAAGTTTCACAATTATTGTCTATAGCAATTTTGCACCATAATCTTACCATCAAGGTGCTTGCAATATTGCTTGACAAAAAGCAATAAAAGCCGAATACGTTTAAACATAACTAAATTTGGTTTGTTGCTTGACTGCCACCCAAAAAAGTGACCTATTAAATGCAAGTGGGCATATTAAATCAAATATAGTCATAATAATGTTAGTAGATATAAAGTTCAATTAGTTGCGAAGGGTTACTCAAAATAAGGTGTGGATTCCTTTTAAATATTCTCATCAATCGTCATAATGGCTATAGTTAAAATGTGTCTTGCTCCAATAGAATGTAACAAATGGATAATCAATTAAACGATGTTATGCCTTACTACATAGATATTTATTTTAGGAAATATAATGGGATTTGCTGCCTGTTTACAAAGTTAAGGGGGGAGACGTCTAACGAAAAGCATAAACTTGTATACATAAATCATTAAATGTCTTCAACGGTACCCTAAACTATTGCAAATTTAATTCATTTAGTTTACATAATCCACATTAAACTATTCTTCATTTACTAAATGAAACATTTCTAACTTTATTATTCTTTTAGTCTATTTCAACTGTATCGGTATCATAGAACCCAACAACTCATCGTAGTAATTCCTTAATGACTTTTTTACGTCATTGGTTCAATCATGAAAGAATTGGTAATACTTTGTTTGTTGCATTTTATCATACAACTTTTGTAAGCCACGACTTACCTTGGGTGCAAGCTTGTTAGGACACGCATGGACCCAATTAATTAACTCAATGTTGAAGATGGGGAGTCTCTACTATGCACATCCAGATATTGATGATCGATCAGATGTCTTATCTACCTTGTCATACCTAGACTCAACATTACCTTTTTGTGCACATATTTTTTCAGTTCATGACTCAACCCGGAACTCCACAATTAGTGGTTTTCCATTGAGTTTTATGCTACCTCAAATCTACACGTAGATAAGAACTTTTATTATCAACTAATTCTTGTTGATAATTGAAATTCCTTTTTGGTACTAATTGGGGGGTTTTTGATGTGCACAAGACGATCCATCATTAAGTTCTACATTTTCTTGGAGGATTCTCCACTCTTGTAAGAAAATAAAGCAAAATATAGTCTCCAAGTCATTAGTTGAAGGTAATTGTAAATTGTTAGCGACCAACGTCAGTGAGATAACATGGCTAAGGCAACCATTGAAAAACTTCCATATTCAAAGCTCTACTTTGGATCTTTTCCTCTGTGATAATCAAGAAACCATACACATCTCCGCCAATCCTACCTTTCATGAATAAACTAAGCATATAGAGATTATTTGCTACTTTGTTCATAATAAAGTTACATATAATTACGTTAAAATAATGACATTCTGAACTGAATACAAGCTTTTTGATATATATGTAACAAAGCTCTTCCACCCTATTTACACTTCTAAGAAAGATGATTGTGAAAAATTTTTACAACCCATTTTAAGGGGGATTATTATAATATGAGCATCATAGCTTTGTTTGAATAGTTACTGCATATGTTTCTTATTTCTTCTAGCTATACCTTATTGGTATCTTATGATACCCTCTATGTAGCCCCTCTCTCTAAATTTTAGCTATAAATAAGACTAGAAAGTGTTATATAACATATACATAAAAGAATGCTAAAATACAATCCAACTTTGCCTTTTTAGTTTTATTTTGTGTGATACAATATGCTTCTATGTTTTCTAGAAAAAAGTGATCATCTATTACTTACCAATAATAAAACTACAAATACTTTCTTAGAATATGAGACTTATTTTATAAGAAAAATTATTTGTTTTTTAATTGAAACATTAATTTATGATTTTTTTTGTTATAACATAAAATTTAATGTTTTTAATGTTTTAGTCCAATGGATTGAACATTATAGGGGTTTAAATTTGATTTATTAAGATTAATCTAAGAATATATTTTCATATTTTTAGTGAAACAAGCTAAAATTTATGGTATTAATATATATGTGCTAGATAAATTTTAAGCTTAATCATATCTTTTAAAATATTGTAATTAAAGTTACTATTATTAACATATTTTACATAAAAATAACTTTAGTCTTATTTTTTTCAAATTGTAATAATTTTTTTTATGGATGCACGTATATTGTTGTAATTCAAAACAATTTAAAAAATTTTAAACATAAATTATTAAGAAAATATCACTAAATAACTTTTTTAATTCTTGATTATTGTTAAAAACATGTTTATAACATATTTTTCAAAAATGGTTATCAACTCATATTTTGATTAAAAATGTGCTTAAATTTTTCATGCACTTATTTTTAACAACAATAATTGCTCTCTTATAAATATACTATTAGAAAAAGAAACTAAAACAAAAGATATTTAAGAGAGGATCACATTTATTTTATATTTTATTTTATTTTACTTTTGCTTTGATCTAAAAAACAGGTTTGACATTTTTAATTAATATATGAAATAAAATAAAATCACTCAAAACATCTAAAAAATCTCTTAATTTTTCTTAGAAATAAAAATTTAATATATATAATGAATGCACTAAACAAACATGCTTTCAAAAACAAAAGTAAAAGCAAAAAAATAAAATCTATGCCAAACAAATATGCATTTAAATAAATCAAATGTTTCCTAAAACTATCATAAATCTCAATTTTTTTTTTTTTAAAAGTGCTAGCCATAAAACTCTCTCTCTCTCTCTCTCTCTCTCTCTC